AGCCATGTCTTCGCCACCAAGACCCGGTGCTTCATATGACCTGCGGACAACCGACTTGATTCCAAGGGACCGTTTTTCGCGCGAGACCAGACGCAGTGATTCGCCAGCATCCGAGTGGAGTTTGACACCACCATCCAACCGTTCTCGTCGCTCGCCGTCTCCTCTGCGTCGTTCTTCTCGGCCGCCGGGAAACTAGCATCCGCGACCAATGGAGGTGAGGTCGCCGGACGGTCTTTTCAAGATATACCTCTGCCTATTGTTAGGATCAAAAACAAAGTGAATGTGCTGATTGATGGAATACCGACGATGGCGTTAGTTGACACTGGGGCGACTGTGTCTGTGATGAGCCTCGTCTTCAGAAACCGCTTAGGTCGCAAAGTTACGTTTTCATGGGACGACACAATCACCTTTCGTGGTGTAGGCGGCGAGTGGCTTAATCCTCTTGGTGTATGTGCTGTCAGTGTTTCATTGGCTGGAAAAGTATTTGTATAGGAATTTCTGGTTCTATCTCGTTGTTCGCACGGTGTCATTCTTGGTATCGATTTCCTGGAGCAATGCGGTGCTTCCGTTGACTGTGGTAGTGGGGAAATATCACTAAACAATTTGTTTCTACCGTCGCTTTCCGAAGAAGACTACCGTGGCGAAGACAGGAACACACTTAGTGTGGTTGATGAAGTGATAGCACCATCTTGGTGCCTGACACCCGTTCGAGTCGCTTCCACGGCGTTTGATGATGCTTGTGTTGACCTCGTAGTGGGGCCTCTACGCAAAAACTGTTTTGAGAAGGACATACTTGTGCCTTGTTCTGTTGTGTGCATGACAAAAGGAGTAGCAACATTGTGGGCGCTGAACTGTTCTGCCACGCCGGTTGTGCTTCCTCACGGGATGAAGATAGCTCTCTTTGATGAACCTCATGCAACTCAATAGCAGCAATAGCTACGGACCTCCCCACCTCTTCCTCTGCTTGTGATATTCCCCATAATGAAGATCTAATGCTCGCTATGATCAGCAAGACTCTCAGTACGACGGAACGGCAAGCGCTGGTGCAGGTCCTTTCCCGGCATGTTGCTGCTTTCGACTTCAAACATAGAGATGCACCCCTTCAGTTACCCTCGTCCCACGCTCGTCACAGAATAGACACTGGCTCTGCACACCCTATCCGCCAAAAGTCCTACCGAGTGTCATCCTCTGAGCGCAAAGTTATCGCCGAACAAGTAAAGGACATGCTGAACAAAGGGGTCGTGCAAGAGTCGTCCAGCCCGTGGGCAGCCCCGGTAATTCTTGTCAGGAAAAAGGATGGTTCCTGGAGATTCTGCGTAAATTACAGGCGTCTAAACACTGTGACGAAAAAAGATGTATATCTCTTACCACGGATTGATGACGTCATAGATTGCTTGCATGCCGCTTCCTATTTTTCAACGCTTGATTTGTGGTTAGGTTATTGGCAAATACCTATGGAACCCGGCGACAAAGAAAAGACTGCTTTCATAACTCCGGATGGCTTATTTGAATTTAATGTCATGCCTTTTGGCCTTTGTAATGCTCCAGCCACCTTTGAAAGATTTATGGACACAGTATTACGTGGTCTAAAATGGGAGATATGCATGTGCACCTTGACGATGTTGTGATCTTTGGCCGTACGTTTGAGGAACATAACGACCGTCTCATTCTTGTTCTCGACTGCATCGAAAAAGCCGGGCTGGTTCTGAATTCTAAAAAATGTCGCTTTGGCGAACGTCAAACTCTCGTGCTGGGGCACATGGTCGACAAGGATGGCGTCAGACCCAATCCTCGCAAAATAGAAGCAGTGAGCTCTTTTAAATCACCGCAGTCCGCACGACAACTTCGCTCATTTGTCAGCCTATGCTCATATTTTCGTCGTTTTCTTCCACGATTTGCGGAGATCGTGTATCCGCTGACAAACGTCTTGCGACAGGATGCAACCTTCAACTGGACACCAGAGTGTGACGCCGCATTCTCACAACTTAAGTTTGTACTAACGTCAGTACCACTGTTGCGTCACTTCGATCCATCTTGCCCGACTGAGGTCCACATGGACGCTAGTGGTATCGGTGTAGGCGCGGTGCTTGTACAACGTCACAATGGCGCAGAGCATGTCGTGGCATATGCCAGCCGTTGCCTGAGCAAATCAGAACGCAACTACACAGTTACGGAACAGAAATGTCTGGCAGCTGTTTTCGCTGTACAGAAGTTTCGTTGTTATCTTTACGGGAGGCCATTTAAGATAATTACCGATCACCATTCGTTATGCTGGCTGGTTGGTTTGCGTGACCCCTCTGGCCGCCTCGCACGTTGGGCGCTGCGACTTGAGGAATACGACTTTACGGTGTCGTACAAGAGTGGCCGTCGTCACGCTGACGCAGACTGCCTCTTCCGGATTTCTCTTGCGACTACTGTCTGCGATGCTGAGAATTTCGACGACTGCCTTGCTGCTGTCACAAGCATGTTCCCCAACGTGGCTGATTTCCAGAGAGAACAACGCAACGATCTCAACTTGGATCCTCTTTTTGCCGCCGCACGTGCCTCCCAACACAGCGGTCGCTTTACTGTCCGAGACAAGTTGCTCTGTAAAACTAACTACTCCAGACCTGGAGCACGTTTTCTTCTAGTTGTCCCCGAGAGCCTTCGCTCCGATGTTCTACGTGCCATGCATGACGATGCGACGTCCGGTCACTTCGGCTTCATTAGAACGCTGAACCGCACGCAGGAACGCTTTTACTGGCCCAAGATGTACGAAATGACGAAGCGTTACGTCGCTAGCTGCGAGACGTGCCAACGTCACAAGCGCCCAGCCACCGCTACACCAGGTCCCCTTCAGCCGTTAACGCCACCCAGCACACCTTTTGAACAAGTAGGAATTGACATTATGGGTCCATTTCCGTTATCTAACAATAAAAAGCGCTGGACAATCGTCTGCGTAGATCATCTCACGCGGTATGCCGAAACCGCAGCTATTCCCTCTTCTACCGCTGCATCTGTGGCGGACTTCTTGCTTCACTCCGTGGTCCTTCGCCATGGCCCACCGCGTGTTATTATCAGCGACCGTGGCCGCCAGTTCACTGCCGATGCCGTTGAAGAATTACTACGCATGTGCACGACACAGTTCCGTCATTCCACACCGTATCACCCACAGACGAATGGCCTTGTTGAACAGACAAACAGAACGCTGACCAACATGCTTGCCATGTACGTTTCTACCAATCACAAGAACTGGGATGAAGTGCTGCCTTTTATCACGTACGCGTACAACACGGCAAAACATGAAACAACGAACTTCAGCCCATTTTTATCTGTTGTACGCCAGGTTGCCACTAAGCCCTCTAGACACTTTCTTACCCTTCATTCTACACAACGACGACTCTGTATCAAACACCCTGTGCCTCGCGGAAGAAGCCCGTCGAATCGCTCGTCTTCGTACTCTGGCCTTTCAACGTCGTTCGAAGGAACGATACGACGACCGTCACGAACCGGTTTTATTCGAAAAAGGTGACTTGGTGTTACTTTGAACACCGCAACGCAAGCGTGGATTGTGTCAAAAGCTTCTGTCACGATATTCAGGCCCATTTGTAGTTTTGGAGCGTCTAAGCCAGCTCACTTACGTAATAGCTCGTCTTTTGACCAATGGTCGACGATCGAGCAGAACGCAGCTCACTCACGTTGCTCGCCTGAAACGTTTCTACCCTCCTTGTGCATCATAACTCGCCCTACGGGCTTCGTCTGCTTGCGGGGGAATGTAACAGACTAGAAAAAGGTAGAGAAGAGAAGCAGAGGAAGACGAAGAGTCTTGGCACGATCGCAGTGTGCTGCCGCAAACGAGCATCGTTCACCTCCTGTAAATAAAACCATCTTATCACAGCTCGCTGTTACTATATATATATATATATATATATATATATATATATATATATATATATATATATATATATATATATATATAATATATATATATATATATATATATATATATATATATATATATATATATATATATATATATATATATATATATATATATATATATATATATATATATATACTTTCATATCTACAAAAATATGTCGGCTTCACCGTCTAACACGCGTTGAGGACGATGGTATCCGGAAGAAAGCTAACGTAACATGTCACATTGAAGCCCAAACGAAGTAGCGTTATCTCTGTCAGACTGTCGAAAGCTTTAACAAATGCGCCATTGAAAATCCGACACGTGAGGCTCATGCTTATGAAGAGGGGGAAAAAATGAAAAAAAGGTGGTTACCTGCAGCCATGGGGTGACCACCGTGCTGAAAAGAGTTCAAAGAACTCATAAGCTGGTACTCATAAAAGTGATTAACTGGGATAGTAGCGGCATACAGACGCGTAAAAAATGCCGAGTGATGGCGCAATGGGTACTTCGCAATACGATGGTCGATGATGCATTGCGTGCAGCTCGCAACTCTGCTTGCAGCAGGTGCCCCACAGAGTTCGTAACGGGTTCTAAGATAGCCAATCTTCCATATAATAGCTTACGCTGTGACTGTTGCGTGTCCCGCCAGGCGTGGCGCATGGCGGAACACGCAGATCGTTGGTACGAATCTTTTTGTGGAAAGTACAAGGTCTTTACATCGCTAAAATATCCGGCGGAAGTGTATTAAACGGCTTTACCCGGTAATTCAGTCTGTCTTTGCACTATGCGGGGAGAGAAGGCGGCTACACGGTGGCACGATACGAGAATTCGCATACGTAGGTAGCAGAAACATGGGAACAAGTGGTCCGATGGAATCATAAATTCATCTTTCTTTTTTCTTTATATTCGAAAATTTTGTATTCCAGGGGGCCACGTGTTAGCAAAATGAAACGTTCTACAGGAAATGGTTTAAAAAAACGACTAACGAAGAAAAGGTATATGGCCTGTGCTGTTTTTTTTTTCTTAATTTATGTTCTGATGATCATATTTAAGACAAACTCGTGTCATTCATGAAATGCTTCTGGGCTCTATCTGTGTTTTACAAAGCGCCGAGGGGTGACAGCTTTATTTGCACGCAAGCAGAAGAGGTGAGTAGCGAAGCGGTTTAATTCAAACCGTCTTGAGTATTAGTAAAGTGAGCATGGCCACAGGTAATAAAGCAGGATCGTTGGAGGCGGGTGACAGTCGAGGACAGGGGAGGGTAGTTGGGGTGGATGGCAACATTTTCAGATACATTTTCTAAAGTATATATAAACGGTTGTGTATCTATAAAAGTATCTATAAACGCTGGTGAATGAGGTACATAGCTGCCGCGCTGCGTGGTGGAACATTGGAAGTAGTAGTTACACCGAAGCTAGCCTAGTTGGTTCTAGCTGGTTCATCCAAAATATGCTCTCGCGGTGCCTCGCGTGGTCTTTACAACAAAATAATGTTTGCGTAAGTTCTCGATGTATATATGCTGCAAACTGGGCCCGCGTTATCACTTTAGAGGGTGGCCGTCCTCCGGTCTGGCGCGCAGGGGGCGCACTGCATCCAATTGAAACCCCGATATAATATGTTTGACGCAAGCTATTAGAACGAAGTTCTTCTGCTGATGCTTCAAAAAAAAAAAAAAAGAACTGAAGGTTGTAGTAGAATGCAGGCTCATGAATAAACAGTAAGGGCCATGAACCAAGCACCCTCAGCAAGGGCCACTTTCGCCCGCTGTATTACGTGAACAACAAAAAAAAGAGGATATATAATATTGAAACCATGCGTTGAGTGACATAAGCGTACCTCGATAAAAAAAATTGGTTAAAATTGGGACCGGGTTTTTTGTTATTTTAGTTTCCGAAAATGAGCTTTTTTGGGAAAAGTCACTTCTTTAACACCTTTTTTTCTTCTATTACGCTGCGTGTAAGAAAACATTCTTTTGCAGGAATGTTGAAAAGATATTGCTCTGTATTGACACTTTTTCTGACATTTTTGCGTGAAATAAGAAATGCGCCAAGGAGCATCAAAGATACCGAACTCTTATTATTTTGACCGAGCATGGCATTTTTTCAGATTTTTTTGTTCTGTAGGCAGCTTAAGGAAAGCATAGATGTAATTCACTGTGGTGCATATAAAAACAAGAAGAAAAAAATTGACACAGCGTTTACACTACGCATTCAATTCGCCTGAGAAATCGAGAAATGTTGCGGCAAGCAATAGCGAGACCCACGCGCCGCCACCTTCCAACATTTTTTTTTTTTGGTGCACTGGAGCCAATTTCAGGGGCGAAACTCCTCTTGGTCTAACTTTGTCATGCGCCACGCGTAACCGAGGGAAGAGGAGACGACACAGAAAAGGCAGTATCTCCCGAACAGTATGATTTGTGGGGTTTAACGTCCCAAAACCGCCATATGATTATGAGAGACGCCGTAGTGGAGGGCTCCGGAAATTTCGACCACCTGGGGTTCTTTAACGTGCGCCCAAATCTGAGCACACGGGCCTACAACATTTCCGCCTCCATCGGAAATGCAGCCGCCGCAGCCGGGATTTGATCCCACGACCTGCGGGTCAGCAGCCGAGTACCTTAGCCACTAGACCACCGCAGCGTGGCCTCCCGAACAGTATAATAGACGGCGCTGTCTCATACATACAAACAGCAGTTAAGTGAGAATATTATAGATAGCGCTGCACTGGTATACTCTCCGATTGGCTGCTTCACGTGCTGTGCCTGGGTACGCGGAGAACGAGTGTCTCTCAGTCTCCTGGACAGTCCGTACGTGGCGGATCGTTGGTGGGGTATAGACGAAGCAGAGCAACGGGTGCGTTGAAGACGCTTGCGCTCGGCTTTCTTGGCTCGTGTCTCGTCGGTGTTACCCACGCGCCGCCTGCATTCTCGAACGCGGTCGGACGCATGGACAGACCGACGACGGACGCTTCGCTCCACTCATCATCATTCACTCCATGAATATGCTGTGTTTTTTTTTTGGAAATAAAATACTCGCTTCCGTGCACCTCAAATGCAGCCACATAACATATAAAACAGACAGACGAAACAAAAATATCACCTGGACACGCATGTTTGATCTCTCGTGGAATCACCCAGCTGCAGTTACGCGGTGCCCGCGCGCTGACTTGCGATCCCACTGAAGGCCCTGCCACGCGCGTGAAGTAACCTCTTTCCTTCGTTCCATTATTTTCCGCTTACCTTCCACTGCGCTTGTCGGGGCGAGAGCAGAGAGAAAGCAATCATTGCGTGCGCCGAACCTCTGCACTTGACGAGTAACTCGTTGTGCTTAGATGGGCTAGTTGGTACTGACTGAATGCTTCCAAATTATTAGCGAACATGCACAAAGGCTACAGAGAAAGACACGGGACAAGCGCTGCACTTCAAATGATTGTTCATCGACATGAATGACATGCGATAGATTTAAAGTATAGATTATAGCGGCAGATTAGGTGGCGGCTAATTTCCTTGTCGCAAACTTTGTGACGTGGCACCTACGTGTGCGCAATGAAACCTATATATTTTGCCGTTCATGTCGATTAAAAATTAGTTGAAACCTATTCGCGGCGAGATCGGGCTATAGGTGGCAGTACCATCCCGCGCAAGTGTGGAAATGCGTTGACTACAGTTTACTGTTAATATCTACGCTCTTCTCTGCTGAATCAGTGAACGACGCCTATGCGACGTTAACATAACCTTGCGAGTAAAGCGCATTCTGCCTTTCATAGAGATGCCCGCCCTGGGTGACTCTGTTCACGCTTTCGCACTATAAACCACACCTTTGCTGTGTTGTTTGTACGTGGTTGGCTTGTGTTCCGCCTCCTACGCACTGCTGTAGCGTGACTGAACTACTTATATACACGTTTCTCATCTGCACGCTACAAACAAGAGAGAAAGAAAAATAGTAGAAATCCCGGATTTCTGTGCGATTAGTTCAGTACCACCGTTCGCACCTTATATACGCATAAGATTTTTTTTTCTCATTCTGTTCACCATCAAATGTGGTAGAGTTGATAGGTCCAGTCAGAAAAGCTTAGTGGCTGATGGTACTTTGTGCTACACTGCGTTTACCACGTGTACGCACATGTTCTTGCACGAGTAAAATATTTAAAAAAGTCTCATATAAGAGTTAAACAGAAAGCTTTTATCGACGGTTTACTATGCTACAACTATGGCCTGGTTAATGGGACAAGCATGCTTTTTTTGTTTTTCAGACAAAAATGACCACTACCGTTCCGTCGGTCACTAACAAGGCCACACAAACGCTGACGACAATGTAAAAAAGTGAAATTTTCAGTGAAACTATATGATAATACACTATAAGGCATGGCGTCTGAATAATTTTCAACGTCTGGGCTCTTTAAAGCGTTCTTAAATTTAAGCCACACGGTTGCGCACGGTAGCTCTGTTATAAGAACAGTTTAAGTACCGATGAGCCGCAGTTGATGGGATAGTAATATTTCTATATAGTGGTACCATGGCCAGATAAACACAAATATTAAGGCTCCTGTCATGATCGATAAACTACACAGCCGTAACTGTACACGTACCGAACAGCTCGCAAATGCATAACCTACAGCCTGTTTTTTTTTTTACAACGGAGTCGCTATAAAACGCTGCGTTCACCCACTGTTCAATAGTGGACATTCTGAGAGGATACCAAAAACATTTTGCGATGTGCTTGAAGCAGAAAGCGGCACCCACTCTGAAATTATTCTGGTGAATGGAGGGTATGACGACAATAAAGAGCACTCTGGAAAGTTGCACTCGCCGATCTTATTACAATGCATTAGCAGCCGAGCAAGATTAAATGCTTTCGTACGTCGTTTCGGGCATACGTAGAAACAGTTACACTCGCGCTGACAAGACGGGACAAACCACACTTTGAGAACGTGCATGACGTATGCGAACATATAGAAACACGGCGTGACTAGCAGACGACGCACGGATCAATCTACAGGTCGCCGTTTTGCCCACTCTGCTCGACCTCGCGACCAATAGCGACCTTTCTTTGTTGTCCTAGAGCATGTTCGCTAGTAATATGGAAGCATATAAATTTGAATTCTGAAAAAAAAAAAATTGCTGCACTCAATCTGGTAGGCACTAAACTCCTTTACTGAGGTCATACTTGGAAAAGTGTTGCAAGGTCCCTCTAAGGAAGAAACCGTTGACGATGACGATTTCAGTTAACTCATAAAGGAATTGTTCCTTCCAGTTCCTTTGTCAATATTCTTCACGTACAGCGATTCCGTACATACTCTGATTTTGGCTAATAGGGCTGCCATTGTTCTCCCAGTTTTTGCTACCGCTATAAATTTGAATTCTAAAAAAAATTGCTGCACTCAATCTGGTAGGCCCTAAACTCCTTTACTGAGGTCATACTTGGAAAAGTGTTGCAAGGTCCCTCTAAGGAAGAAACCGTTGACGATGACGATTTCATTTAACTCCTAATGGAATTGTTCCTTCCAGTTCCTTTGTCAATATGCTTCACATACAGCAATTTCATGCATACTCCGCTTTTGGCTAATAGGGCGGTCATTGTTCTGCCAGTTTTCGCTACCGCTAGCTGCCGGAAGCCGACAAAACATGTCGCCGAGTGGTTCGGCGAACCTCGAGCTGTTGGGAAGGTGTGCTTAGAACAACGGCACGTGTACAAGTGCACCGACGCTGCTGTATATACGTCGAAGAGGGCGATGTATGATAATGAGTTTGTCTTTTTACTGCGCAAAGCTGTTGCAGAGGCCGTATAGAGTCATGTCGTGGTATAGCGTCGAAATGAAGCGGGCAAGACTCTGGGTTGAACGTCAGCGCCGCTGTTTTATAAGCGTCACTTGAACGGAGGGATTTGAAACTTATCGCGGAAACGGCAGGCGTGCACGTGGGTTCATTTGACGTGCGTACAGCAGGTCGGAACCGCTCCGTCGTGTCGGTGCAATCGAGCTAAGAAGTGTCCTGATATATAGATTGATGCCAGCGCGAGCATTCGAATTCGTGAATCATAAGTCGAACAGTGTGCCATTCGATTTGGTGTTCGAATCGAGTAGCCGCACAATTCGTTTATGCAAATGTTCTCGTATAGTTTACGAGTATTTCAACGTGTTGTGCTGCACT